AAAATTAACCAGGTGTGAAAACAGCGGATGTCCTATCCGGAACCTGACCACAAAGACACCTGTCATGCAGGCAGCCCCCTGCGCAGTGGAGGACGGCCCGGGTCAAGGACAGAGCGCCACTCGGGGCCCCGGGCTGCGGTGCATCTGGGCCTCTCCGCGGGGACCCGCCCCTCCTGGCTACGAACGTGGTGGCGGCTGCCGGAAGACAGCCTCCTCTCTCAGCCTATGGCAGTGAGCGTCCAGCCTCCCCCCCCAACTCAGGGACACACCCCCCACCACCAGACGGACGGTCCTCACCTCTCCAGTTCTCACGGAGGCAAGGGCTGAAGAGGCTGGCGCGGGGCTTGTGGGTTTAGTGCTCATGTCAACGGCACCACGAGGCAGGCGCTCTTGCTGACATCACCCCATTTTAAGTAGGAGAACAGAGGGCGGGAGAGGCGCCCCAAGGTGACGCAGCCAACAGAGGTCAAGCAAGACGAGCCCCAGGGCCCAGGTCTATGCCCCCCCCCCCACTGTATCGGGGTCCTCTCACCTGGGGGTGTGATGTGTTCTCATATCTACCCCCACCCTGACCCCCCGACTCAGAGCCTCGGGGCGGCCCCTGGCAGCAGCCTCCTGTGAAAGTCCCGCAGGCAATTCCAGTCCTAGCCAAGCTGGGGGAGCCCTGTTACTAACGTGGGTGACAGGCCCTGCACGCAGACTCGCTCTGCAAGGGGACGGGGCCCTGAGTGCAGACTCGCTCGGCAAGGGCACGGGGGCCAGGCCGTCTCGTATGTGGGACTATGTTTACAGGCATCTGAGCCCAGTTCCCAAGGCATCAGCCTTTAGGTTCATGACGTGTGGAAATGTTGTATAAAACCGTTACTGTAACAACTCAGTGAATAATTGAGTAATGACTACACAGTTACGAAAGAAGCCCAACATTTGCAAAGGGTCCTTAAGCAACCAGGAGGCCAGCAGCACCCCAGGGGCCCCTGCCCTGCACGCCCGTGAGGCAGAGGGCGGGGGGGTGGGTGGGGAATGTGCTGGAAGACGAAGATGGGTGGGTGGCTGGGGGGGCTGCCAGCCTCTACACCCTCCTGCGGAATGGTTGACGTTTCCTTACACGTGATGTGCCACCTCGTTAAAGAAAGGGGTGCAGGCGCCCGGCAACGCCTCAGTCATTTAAAGATAAGCTAGAGCTGTCAGAGACTATTGTCCTTGTGGCAGGTTGTTTGGGATTGGACCGACGAGTTCTCTCCTGCACACGCGTGACAGTCATCCACGGTCTGGAGAAGCAATCTGTGCTTTTACAGTGATCTCTGCAAGCCCCCTGCCCCCTTTCCATGCTTCCCTTCTCCCGGTGCTTTCGGTGTTCAAATTCCCTGCCTTTCTGCCTCTGGGGGGCTGTCTGTACCTTCCTCAGGTGCCGGAGGCGAGCAAGGGGAGCGTCACAGTCGCAGTGCATTCCTGGCCCCTCCGGCACATTCTGCAGAATTACTAATCAGCCTGCACACGGGGCCCAACACGAAGGTGGAGTCTGTGACGGAGCAAATTTAAACAATCCTCTGCCGCGAGCGAGGAGGCAGGGAGGCTCGCAGGGCTCAGGTTTCCTGCCGAGGCGAAGCCTGGCCAGCGGGGCCTGGAGACGCCCGGCCTCCTTCCCGCACACGCTCAGTCCACCTCACGTGAAACACTGCTTTTTAATCTTTCCATTTTGTCTTGAGGAAATAAATCCCAATTGCATTTCTGGAAAAAAAAATCTATTCTGTAGTGATGGACGGTTATGGAAAGCTGAAGCAGTAAAGGATGTCAAATAATGTGTGGTTCGAAAGGCAGGTTTTAAAGGAGCAAATGACACGGGAAATTTGTCTACCTTTTTATGCTGATACGGCTTGTTCTCACCGTGTAAAAATGATTTTATGTGATCAGCCACGTCACTCTGGAATATTTTGCAAATGACTTTACATGACAAAAGTCACACGTGTTTCATTTTTGTTGAACACTTGAAATATAGACCATATAAGGTACCAATAATCCTGTAACCGTGTTCATTCTGGCGTGTTTCCTAGCAGCGGGACAAGGTGTCCTACTTGCTTGTACACGCAGCTACCTGTGTCGATGGAGATGTCCAGGCATTGAACAATACTTCGATCATTCTGTGGACCCGCTTTGTATCCTGTCTAGTCCGTGTAACACTGTGTCGGGGGCCCTTTCTCAAGGACACTGGATTGGATCATGAACAAGTGTGGAGACATGCGTCCGCGGAGGGTGAAATCACTGAGCCAGGGTGCTTGGCCTGAGCTCGGAGGTCAAGGTTAATGCTGGCAGAGTGCAGGCTCAGCAGCTGGCTCAGCTCAACAGAGAGCAGCTTCGGGCTCCTTGACTTGACTTTGCTCTTCGAGAGCAGGTGCACAGTGCGGATCCCTGATGGCGGGGCCAATGTCACTCCTACTTCGTCCCCTTCTCTTCTTAGGGCAAGAGACAGTGAGGTCGTACTTGAGAAGCAGGAACAGTCACGAGTTAAGGAAAAGGCACCATTTAAGGTCAGTGCTGGGGAGGTTAACACAGACTCTGCCGATGGGGAGAAGGACGGCTGTGCGACCACCGGGAACAGTCTGCGGCTAAGGAGGAGCCACAGCGGCTCCTCGTCTAGGCTGTAGATCCGGGCTGCTCGGTGCTGCAGAGAGTCCGCCTCAATGCTTTGAGGATGAAAGAATGGTTTTAGCAAACGGCCCTGTTATTCAGCAGTTCATTTTGAAAATGACAGCTTTATGGAGCTATAATCTATATACCATTCAATTCGCTCATTCCAAGTGTACAAGTCAATCATTTTTGGAATACTCCGAGTTATGCACCCGTCACCAGTCAATCTGAAAACTTTTCCATCAGCCCGAAACACACCCACACCCAATAACAGTCACCCCCTTTCTCCCCTCGGCCCCTGGCAGCTACTGGTTGGCTTTCTGTCCCTGAGGGGGCACCGCCTACCAGACGTTCTCACATACACAGAATCGCACAATACAGGCAACTTTGCGGCTGGCTTCTCTCACTTGGCGTAAGGTCTGCAGGGCCGTCCACGTTGGGGCAGACGTCAGGCTTCGCTTCTCTCTGTTGCCAAATCAATGCCACTGTGTGGGTGTATCGCACTTGTGTACGTGTTAGTTGATGGGCGCTTTGGGCTTTTTCCCAAACGTTATTAGGTCTCGTGAATTAGCTAATGCGCCAGGAACACTCACGCAGGTGCTGGTGTTTACACACATCTTCTCTTTCTCTTGGTTACAGCACAGGAAAGGGGCGGTCAGGTCACAGGTGACTCTGCGTCTAGCCTTCTGAGCAGGTGAGAGGAGCTCCTTATTTGTAGACACCCATTTTTCGGTGATCCTGACCTCGCCAAAGCGAGCTCTGTTTCCCATACATTTTCAGCGTTTCGTCTTTGCTTGCTATACATCTTTTAAAGAACCATCTTTTAAATTACATCATTATGAGAATCTTGAACTATTTGGCCAGGTTCCATTGACCGTTTTAGAAATAGGATTACAGCTACCAGAAAAAACATTCAGTATTAGGAGGACGGCTTAAATTACGGGGTTACTAAAACCGTTGAACAAAACACGCAAATGTCTGCAATAAGACAGAATGCTGCGATCAGAGAACCCAAATCAGAGTTCCTGAGACGACTTGTTTAGGAAGTCACGTTCCAGGCTGTGCCCTTGAGGGACTGTGATTCAGGAGGTCTGGGCGGGGGAGGGGGGGCAGCCTGGGAGTATGTTTCTAACAACGTCCCCTCCCAAGCACGCACGGGTGAGCCCGAGACAGGCTCCAGTCTGGCCAAAGCGGGTGCCACTGCCCTGGGGTGACCGGGTCCCCTGGGTCCTGCCACCTGCTGCATGGTAATCCCCACCTAGTTATGCATTTCCTGTCCTATATTGTTGGTCATCTTACCTTGTTCACCAGGCAACAGGAAGTGACGTGAGTGCAGATAACAACACATTACCCTGAACGTACTCACTGAGGACATTGTCGTAAGACCTGAAGATTCAAGAGCTGCTTTCACATTTTTGAGTCTCATGGTCCCCAAAGGACTGCGATCCCCCTGCCCTTGACAGACGTCTCCCCCTCCCTGCGAGAGAGCCCCCCATCCTGACAGTTTCCTGGCTGCACCCCTGGTCCTCGCCCGATAAACAGGCCAGCCCACAGAACTATTCAGACAGCCCCAGCGCATCCTCTGCGGGCACAGGGGCCACCTTGCCTTCGTGTTTCCACGCAGCCGCCTCCTCACGCCTGTCCGTGGTGGCTCTGTCCTGTACGGGCCCGTGCGGCCCAGCCTGGCATGCACACCCTCCTCCCCAGGGTGTTATGAGGGTACAGGACCAATAAGACAGTGCTGCACCTGCCCAGGGCCTGGCGCGGGTGCCTGGACACCTTCCACTGTTCAGGGGATGGGCCCCTCCCTCACCAGCAGCGTGAGTGGGAAGGGATCAGAGCGGGAGCAGGGGCTGGTTCGTACGTGCTGTGGGCCAGGAGCCCGGGAGCCAGCGACCCTGGAGGCAGTTTTGTTCTGCCCTGGTGTCTAGTGCTCGCACCTCCCTGGCGGTCGGGGGTACAGAGCTCTGTTCCTAACACCCAGCCCCTGGGGAGTCACCCAGCCACGAACCGCATTTTGCTGGGAACTGAGCAATCCTGTGTGACTGAAGGCTCCAAAGGACTTGGGGCCCCCGGGCCGCCATGCAGCCTCTGCTTTCCTCCTCGATGTTCTTTTTCCCAAATGGCACGCCGCCGCAGAACATATGGGGGAGAACGGTATTTACGCAATATGGCTTTTCTCCCTGGAAATCGTGGAAATTTTGCAGGGAGATGTTAGATATTCAGGGAGACGTTTGTACTGTTTATCATCAGTTGGAGGGTAACGTGTCTGACACACTCCTTGAGAGGCAGCTCTGGAAACCACGCACTGCTAAGCAGAACGCGTATCCCGCAAAGAGCTGGCACGGTATAGACATCCGCACGCAGAGTCCTACCTTTCAAGGTGGCTTTCTTGAGGACTTTCATTGCGTAGAGCTGTCCCGCGTCGGACCCCTTGGCCTTCCTCACCAGGAACACCTGACAGAGAGAACACAACGCCCGAACTTGGTTGCACTTCAAACCCACTTTCCTTATTTGAATTGTCGCAGGGCTCTGCAAGGGAGTTTAGGGGAAAATCCAATGAAGTAAATATGCTATCGTGAAATTCTACATTTAAAATCTTCTCCAACATCAAAGCTGGACGAATTTCATCTAATTGACTGTAACTGCGGGATGAAGAGCATTACATGTTTGTAGGAAGCAGCATTTGTTTTGGTATCACTAACTTTCTCCTGAACACTTTCCATCAGGAAAAAAGACCAGTTGTTTAGGAAACCAAACAATATTCATGGGGCGCCTGGGTGGCTCAGTCGGTTGAGCCTCAGACTTCAGCTCAGGTCATGATCTCACGGTTGTGAGTTCGAGCCTCACGTCAGGCTCTGTGCTGACAGCTCAGAGCCTGGAGCCCACTTCCCATTTTGTGTTTCCCTCTCTCTGCCTCTCCTCCACTGGTTTTCTCTCTCTCTCCCAAAATAAATAAGTAAACTTTAAAAAAAGAAAATCAATATTCATAAATTTTAAGGAAGATGATTTGTTTTATTCTAAACATCCCTTTGTAAATCCCCACCGTGAAGGCCGCCCTGATTACACAGAACAGTCTGATTCTTAAGATAAACTGGGTTCTCTTTATTTTGAACCTCTTATTTTGAGCTTTCTTCACCCAAATTTTAGCTCTGAGCAGCTTGGATTTACATGGAGAGTTAGTTTCTAAGTGGCTCTGGGTACACTCGTGTGCGGCCTTAATGACTTTGAAACACCTTGAGGAGGGGCATCAAGGGAAACCAAAAAGGAAAGACAATCGTTTGAGGGGCTGAGTGAGCCTGGTGTCCTGGCCAGTTAGTAAAATAAACACACACACCTCCCTGGGGCATCGGCGCCACGGGAGAGACTGCCACGCTGATGACACCTGCCACCCAGTGGATGCGCCACCACAAGGGTGACAGTGACTCAACCTTCCCCGAAATGCCTCCCCAGGGGGCCTCCAGAAGCAGGAGGGGTGGGGGGGTTGGGGTGGGGGGGCCGCTGCGCCGGCCGGGGGCGGGGCGCTAGCTCCAGGAGCCCCGCCCACTAGGCGTGGTGTTGGGGTGGGGGCCGCGGTGTCACCTGCAGGGGACAGAGACCAGCACGAGGGGTCTGCTCTTTCCCAGCCTTGCCCTTGGGGGGGACAGTGACGAGGAGGAAAGTGAGGGGCAGGAGCTCGGGAGCCGAGGGTCCTCGGTGTCTCCTCCACTGGCCCCGGGAGACCCCAAGTCGCCGCACTGGGATGCCGGTAACGGAGTCATCACCGCCGTCCTCAGTTCACCGAGGGCCCTCGAGGCGATTCAGCGGCCTCCTGACCCGGGACAGCTCCCGCTCCGCTCCTTCCTGACCGCGGCCACGCTCGGGTCACAGTACCCTCCCCAGACCCGCATGGATCCGGGTCAATGCAAACATCCCTCCCCCCTCCCCTCCCCCACCCAGACAAAAATGAGGGCAACACGCTGGCCCCACTGGACGCTGCCTCCCGGAGTGAGGACAGTGAGAAGTAGGTAGCCCTTTCCTTTCAGATTTGGACTATTCTGTCACCTTCCGGGGACAGGGGACGTGTCTACATGTATGCACGTGTCCCACATGCTGGTGCTTGTTGGCGGGGTGAGGCAGCCTGTGGCGCAGACCCCCAGGGAGACAATCTGGGGTCTCTCCCTCAGCAGGCAGGGCTATACAAGCCACCTCCTGCAGTTCCCACAGATGAGGGCTCTGCTGGGGACGAGCCTCCCTGCAGGCAGGTAGAAAAGACTGTTGCAGCAGTCAGCAGGGTGGGGTGTGCGGAGGAAACTTCGCTGTCTGACATCCTGAGTCCTCTGACTGCCATGTCTGCTCAGGCAGGAGGTCCCCCCAAGTCTCCAAGCCCCACCCCCGAGCTGGTGCGGGCCTGTGGGCGGAGGGGAGCCCCCCGGACACAGGGCTGTGAGCACAACCCAGTGGGCAGGTGGGAGAGGCTGGGGGCCCCCCAAGGGGCTGGGGCACCAGTGCCGGGCACACAGGAGAGATCTCCGAGCCCCAGAGGGCCTGGGGGCGGGGCCAGGTGTGTGGGGGGCAGGGAAGGGCTGCTGGCCAAACAGCTGTGACTCGAGCAGGGAGGGAGTGTGGCCCTCTGGGGCCAGAGCACCGCAGAGCGGGAGCCAGACGCTCGGGCTGCAGCCCCCCGCGACGGCGCTGGGGGCCACGGGGCCAGGGGGCGAGCCAGCCCGGTCCCGGTCCCGGAGTCACTGAGCAGGGACACTGCCTCGGCGCGCCGCAGCGGGGACAGTTAACCTGCTCCCTCCATCACAGGGAAGCCCGCTGCTCAGCCCCGAGATGAGCGTCCTGGTCACCAGACAAACAGTGACAGCAGCAAACCCTCCTTCACAGGGTGCGACTCCGGAAGCCATCTTTCCTGCCTCCCTTTTCGTTCCTTCCTCCCCCTCTTCCCGACAATAGTAGTGGGTGTGCCTGATGCACATGTGAACGTACGTGAGAGCACACACACGTGTGGACTCAGGGCCGTGGACCCCACTCCACTGCAGGCTTCACCGGAGGCCCAGCACACGTGGGCAGCCACAATGAAGGTGAGCTCAAAGACGTCAAATTCTGCATAAATATTGCTCATAAAACGTCCTTCTCGAGGCTCAGGCTTTAAAAAAAAGGTGATGACTGAGAGTGATGGCCTGTCTGTTATGAAGAGAGCTGTACTCAGGGGCGCCTGGGAGGCTCAGTCGGTTGAGCAAGGACTTCAGCTCAGGTCACGATCTCACGGTTTGTGAGCTGGAGCCCCTCCTAGGGCTCGGCGCTGCCAGGCCAGGGCCTGCTTGGGATTCTCTCTCCCTCTGCCCCTCCCCCTTGACTGCACATGTGCTCTTGCTCTCTTTCTCTCAAAATAAACCAACTTTAAAAAAAACAAAGAAGAGGGGCGCCTGGGGGGCTCAGTCGGTTGAGCATCCAGCTCAGGTCACGATCTCACGGTTCGTGGGTTCGAGCCCCGCGTCGGGCTCTGTGCTGACAGCTCGGAGCCTGGAGCTGCTTCCGATTCTGTGTCTCCCTCTCTCTCTGCCCCTCCCTGTTCGCACGCTCTCTCTCAGAAATAAATAAAAATAAAAGAGTTGTGCTTCTGTTTTTGAGAAGAACTGGAAGAGACTCAGCGCTCATGGAGCCCCCACTATGTGCCAGGCCCTGGGGTCACTACAGACAGCAGCAGGAGGGACCCTCTGGGCACCTAACAGGATAAACATGACCTTGAGAGGACAGATGGGCTCACCAGCCGCCGCTGCCTCTCCCGCCCACTGGCTGGCGCACGGCGTTTAGGACTCTACCCTTGGATGCAGTGAAATAGGTTCTCGAGAACTCCAGCAATTTCAGCAAATACGGTCGTCGAGCCTTCGCCTCTAGCCCAGTTGCGTGTTCTCCCCATTTCATTCCTGGAGCTGCCTTCTTCAGCGGCCCGGCGTGTGACGCACAAAGACATTATGAGGGGACACGTGATGACAGACGCTGCGCCGTCCTAACTCGCCCCAAATCTCCAGGGTCCGCCGTCATTGGCTAAACCACCCCCGACTCTCTCCGCAAACCTCTCGGAGCTGCGACCTCACAAGGGGGCTGCAAAGTCCTCCAAGTCAGGAGCCAACAGGTGGCGGCCGGGCCCTCTCAGGGGACGTTACGGTGACAAGGTCCTCAAAAGGAAGACATGGAAAGACCAATCCTATATGCTCCCAATTTAGTCATAGGAGGACAAGGGCCTGCTTTGATCTGGCTTCAGCCCTTCTCCGAGAGCGGGGATTGTGATCCTTTCCCCGAGTATCCTGAAGAAAGGAGTCTTTCCACACGGACCCCTGGTGCTTATCCATACGAGGGACCCCAGGCGAGGGGGTGGGGAGGAGTCGCTTTCGGACTCGCGGGCGGCTTGGGCGCCTCCTTCCTGCAGACCTTCCGGGCACACCCGGACGCACGGCCGTGTCTCCCAGCCTTTCACTGCTCTCCTGGCCCCACGCTGAAATCGCCCTGTCTGAGGACAGGCCGCGTCTCCTGCCTGCGCACCAGCCTTCCCCTGCTCTCCGGACGCCCCTGAAATCATGAGGTCTTGACACGTCCCCAATGACCAGAGACGGTCTCCGTTTTTCCCAGCTGAGTGCTTCGGCAAACCGCTCCCTACACTTCGCATGACTGACTCGGAGATGCGAGCGCACGCTGCCCTGCGTGGTCCCGCACGGGGACCCGCCGCCAGCAGACACTCCTCCTCTGTCTGGGATGCACACGAGGAGGGCAGTGGCTGAGGGAGGACCCGTCAGGGCTCCCGCAGTGGGCGGGGTGGCAAAGGCACGTCGCGGTCCCCAGGAAGAGCCTGCGGTTGGAAGGTGGGCATCGCTGCCAAGGGGCAGAGACTGCACTTTATTCCTTGCTGCATCCCAGCATCTGCAATCCCTTCACGGGGGGAAAGAAAGAACGACGGGACCCAGTAACAGGTGACTGTGACCTGGGGACACCGGACTCCAGATTCACTCTGGCTCTTTGCTCTTGGGAGCAGAGGGGAGAAGGGAAATCTAACGCGAGCTTTCTGGATGAAGATGTTCCGTTCTGCTCTTCTTTTCTCTTCTGGAGGGCAGATGCCAGGGGACCTCTGCACACGGACATAGGGTGCTTAGGGACGAAGAATACAATCATACGGGGTGTGAGGACACATGGCTCCTCTCCCCTCGTCATTAGTTTTGCTTCTCTGAAAATTCCTAACAGGCAGCCCTGTGTGGCTCTCGAGCTGATGTCGGCACCTCCGAGGGGTGTGGAGTCCTGGCCCGTGTGTCTGGCACCCCTCGCCCCCCGGGAACCCTGGATTTCACCCCAGGGCCCCGCGGACTTGGCCCGACACACAGTCGTGGCTGAGCTGTGAACTACGTTGTTGGCGGAGGTTAAGACACGCGTACGAGTGGCTACCGCCTCTTTTATTCCTCTGGCCGGCGTGGCCCGCATCTACCGCGGCCCAAGTGAACGTAAGTGCACAGGCGTGTAGAAGGCATGGAGCATGACACAGATGGTCACTCTGGGGATTCCACCATTATTTCATGTGTAGTCTGCCAAAGAACTTTTTTAAAGCAAACTTTTAATTCAAAATGTGAAATTTGGTGGGAATTGGACAAAGCCTTTTAGCCTCTCATGTTTAACCCCCGAGTCCCCCAGGAGGGCATTCTCAAGGGTATGTTTTGTCCAGTCACGTTTCTGAACGGCCCCCAGAGCCCCAGACCTGTGGGGCTCAGAAGCACGGTCTGTCCATGCTGTGACCAAGCACCTTAAGCTGGGGGTGCTGGGCGCGTCCACGGCGAAGGAAGAGGGACTCAGTCACATGCAGCAGCACCCCCCCGCCAGGGCCCCACACTGCACACGAGACCACTCAGCTGATCATGTCCTCCACGGACTGAATCTGTTCTCAGGAAACAGACGTGGGGAATGTGTGTGTTTGCTCCTCTCTGTTCCAAAATCATAGCTCTCAGAGAGAGAGAGTTATACCACTCTCTTTTTTTCTGACATTTCTAATTAATGACAAACACTTCATTACCGCGTGACGAGGCTCTGCCTTACGCTTTCAGTAACGCTTCTTATACTGTGAGAGACGGAAATCTTCGCTCCCTCCTTCCAAAAATAACTTAGGAACCGTATTAAGTAGCTGTTTTTGTAGGACACGAAATTTTGAATACAGGTAATGCTGTACGCTTCAAAACTAGTGTGGTTTTACCTACATCAGACGTGTCCCTTACCATGTCACCATACGAAAGTGAAAAAGAAGAAAGAAAAAGACGTTCCACCTGATAAGCAGGCCAAAAGATCAATTCTGCAATCACAAATTTCACGGTCTGTAAGAGACCTTCCAGAACACCATTAACACACTGTCAATCCAACACTGAATCACCAGCACCAGGCCTCATCTTGGCACAAAGTCCCACGAAGAATGGAGATTGGGTGAGTGTCCGTCCACACGCCAGGCCGTGGTGTTGCTTGCCCCTGGGAAAGGTCAGCCTTCGTGTTTCTCTCAGCCCCCAATATGCCCGCAATCATGCCGTCAGAGTCTGTAGATTTCTAAGTTCCTCCCCGTACACAGACCACTCAGCACTGCATGGGAAGGACTCATGTGTCATTGTGACGGAAGAGTCACGGCGTTCTGCCATTTGAGGCCCAGCCGCTTCTCACGTCCCCAGAGTGATCAGCTGTCACCGCACTTGGAAGGTAAGAAAGGGCACAATTCTTCACACGGATACAGCTTAGCAAGCGCAACGGGATTCTAGTCGTCTTCAATCCGTACAATAATCACAGACGTGTCATCCCCATTTTGTAGACAAGGAAACTGAGGCTCGGAGAGAGAATAATTGCGCAGCAGGGGCAGAGGGTAAGGAGAGGGGCCCAAGGACAAGGCTGGCCTTCCTGACTCCTGAGGGCCAGTCACGTGCCAGCCCTGAAGGGCACGGCTTTCTTCTTTCTTGGTGAGTGTGCGCTTTCGGAGAGGCACTGTCATGATGAGCCGGGTATCCAGGGTCGTCCCAGGGGAGGGGGCCGTGGGGGTGTCCTCGAGGGTCCGTGCTGTCCTGGCTTGCACAGCCACACACTACTGGATCGGAGCCGTGTGGGGTGAGTTCACGGTCCTGCGTGCGTGTGGGCCATCGTCACCCCCAGTCCCTGTCCCTCGTGCGTGCAGACCGCCGTCACGCCGGTCCCTGTGCGTGCGTGCGGGCCGCCGTCACCACGGGGCCCTGCACGGGGGGCACCGCCTGCGAGCCTCACTCCCTCGGCCTCAGGGCCGCGAGTCCGTGTCCAGGAGGCCGTCTGCCATCGCGCCCGCCCCTCCCCCACCAGCCCCGTGCTTCTGCCACGTGCGTGAGCCTCACTCGGAGGGACGCACGCCCCAGCTTACCTTTCCGTAGGATCCTTGTCCTAGGACCTTCAGCAGTTCAAACTGGGAAGGGTCGGCCTTTTCAAACCCTTCCTTCACATGGTGGCTGATGTCAATTTCCTTGACGGTGCCTTCCTCCTGCAAGAGAGCAGTGACACGCGATGAAAACACCAGCGTCGGGACCTCACATGCATCACGCGCCCGTCTACTCTGAACGTAGGACGAGTTGGGTAATGTTATGGGTTTTGAGGACTGGGGTGAACGGAGGGAAAAACTCTTCTCTGCGCTCAAGGTTCACGACCGACCGGCCTGAGAATTAACTTTACACAAGACAGATCAACGGGAGGAAAGGAAATCCGAGCAGTATTATGTGCACACAGAGGCCCAATGACTAAATGAAGACCTGGAGAAATGACCAGAGCACGTGGTTTTTATTCTTTATAGACAAAAGGACAATAAATCTGTTGGGAACGGACTGGACAAAGAAAGCGTGACTTTAAGAGCTTCTATTAAGTAGGATTTCTGAAGAGGATCTGGGCTGGGGTGGAAAGGAGAAAAGGTTCCCGTCCCTGGTGACGGGTGATCTCTACTTGCTGGTGACAGAGGGTGCCTGTCACACGGGGTTTATTGTGAGAGTCGGAACACCACAGAGCTTTACATAATCTTCCTTATTTGTGCCCGTTTTCTTTTTTCTACATTTATTTATTTAGAGACAGAGAACGCGAGCGGGGCAGGGACAGAGAGAGAGGGAGGGAGAGAATCGCCAGCAGGCTCCTCACTGGCAGCGCAGAGCCCGACGCAGGTGTGAACTCACCAACTGTGAGATCGTGAGCTGAGATGGAACCACGAGCTGGACACTTATCCGGCTGAGCCCCCAGGCGCCCCTGTGCCTACTTTCTGCTTGGGGCCAGGTGAGCCACTTTTTCTTTTCTGTGGCGATTTCTGTCATCTGGTCTTACCAGGGTCTCAGGGAAGTGTAAAGGGACCTCAATGAAATCCATTCGGCTTCTGGCAGTTTGGGCGAGAGTTGGGGAAGGGATGAATATGGCCACGGGCGTCAGATAAGTGCCTGAGAATTTGTCTGTGTCCACAGTGCTGGGCTGTAAAGGCCACTGGCAGGGTCCACACGTGAGGCGCACCTCTGTGTCCTCCCTCTAGAAGGGCGTTTTTGCCACAGCTATCGCACCGTGTATTTTATAAATAAATACATTTTATTTTATTTTTTTTTTTTAAATGTTTTATTTATTTCTAGGAGAGAGAGAGAGACAGCGTGAGCAGGGGAGGGTCAGAGAGAGAGGGAGACACAGACTGAAACAGGCTCCAGGCTCCGAGCTGGCAGTCAGCACAGAGCCCGACGCGGGGCTCGAACCCACGAACCGCGAGATCATGACCTAAGCGAAAGTCGGACGCTTAACCGACTAAGCCACCCAGGCGCCCCTAAATAAATACATTTTAAAAAGAATGCCATTGACTTGCGATCCTTTCATTTTTTAAAAAAAAAATTTAAGTTTTATTTATTTTGAGACAGAGAGAGGAGAGAGAGAGAGAGAGCATATGAGCAGGGGTGTGGCAGAGAGAGGGAGAAAGAATCCCAAGCAGGCTCTGCACTGTCATCTCAGAGTTGGACGCAGGGCTCAAACTCATGAACTGTGAGATCATGACCTGCGCCGAAATCAGGAGTGGGACGCCTAACTGACTGGGTCCCCCGGCGCCCCTGTGATCCCTTCCTGAATAAACATGTAAGAATGCGGGGGGCGAATGCTGGCGGACGGGCGCCATCCTCAGACCGCAGTCTGGGGTGGGGGTCACACTCGAAGGCGCTCCTGCCTTTGCAACACCTCGGGCCCCCTGGAGCGCAGGGCCCTGGAGGTCCAGGGGACAGAGCGGCCTGCGCCGGAAACCTCTCCGTCGTGGTGGGAAGAGAAAGAAACCGCGCGAGGCTCAGTGTTCACCGCGTGGCCTGGTTTTCACCAAGCAAACCGCACTCTCGCGGCTGCTGCAGGCTCTGGTTTCCACTTAGGAAACAAGGCCAAAGCTCAAGTTCAAGACCATGTTCCAAGTCCCCAGAGAAACACGGAGGCCATCCTTTCCTGCTGCTGACCTGTCAACTGAAGAAAGAAGCTGAAGGCTCTTTGTTGCGTAAGAACAGAGCCCCCCGTCCTGTCACTTCGGGGCCGGGGCTCCACTGACCACCCGCTACCTGCCGCCCGGCCGGGGTGAGTCACCCCACGTCCCGGTTTCCCTCCTGAAGTAACTTCAGTCGCGTGGCCATGGTCATGCCACACCTTCGCCATGAACGAGGTAGTAATTCACTGAATCTCGTCTGTCCGGGACTTCATTCTGGTAACGGCTGGAACACGGTAACAGTCCCGGTGCTGATGGGAAAGCCAAATTCGCCACGGTCCCCAGGCACAAGGCGGGAGACAGAACCTGGCATCCACACAGCCCGCCAAGGAGGACGGGGACAGGAGGTGTGGACAGTTAGCCCGCTGGTCTCTCCCCTGATGACATTTCCCAGCACGTGTGTGCTTCCTGAAGATTCCAGATCATTCTTCGTCTTCAGCCACTCTTTGTGGAGAGCCAGAGACCTGCTGCTGCGGCACACGGTGTCAGTCGACCCACTGGGTCAGTCAGGTGGTGTTCCTACAGTGGGCCCGCACGCCCCTGCCCCTGGCGCGTCCGCCCGTGAAGCTGGCTTCGCGCCTCTCAGTTTTTGAGAGAGAGACAGAGACAGAGGCAGAGCATGAGCAGGGGAGGGGGAGAGAGAGAAGGAGACACAGACTCCCCCTACCCCCCCCCCCAGGGTTACTCCAGGTGTGCAGAGATCTCTGAAGGGATTTTCCGTGTCCAGGGCCTCTCCTACTCACTGCCACCCAGTTGACACCCAGTCACGAGAGAGAGCGCTGCACCCAGGGGTCGGACCCCCCCACCCCGGCACCCCACGGCCCACTGCTCCCTCCGGGTGTTTTCCTCCTCGCATCCAGCCCGCTCCCCAGGGTCCTCTCCCCCCGCCCCCCCACTTCCTCACCTCCCTGCCTCCCCACGGCCTGCCTCCCCGCCCCTCCTTCTCCAGCGTGAGCGCCCCCTGGGCCTCACCCTGTGTTGGGGCCTCACGAGGATCTCCGGACAGGACCCTCCCCAGAACTCCGGCTGGAGACCCTCGGACGGGGCACAGGGTCCGGTGTCCTTCGTGCTGGGGTGGGTGAGACGTCCGCCTGGGACCTTCACCAGTCCCCCTGCACCATGAGGCCACGAGGTCGCCTCAAGGTCACCAGCTTTGTCACCTGCTGTCAAGGAGACTGTCAGCCTCACTGTCCTCTTAGTCAGGGTTCTGCTCTTAACACGGGTTTTGGCCCCCGAATATCTGCTAACTTCCCAGCTCCCTAAAGCATCTACGTATTCTAGACATGGTGCTGTCAGGCCGCTGGGGCTGCTGGGTAAGCGTCGGGTCCTCATCTCATGCTTCCTGAGTTTGAGCCCCGAGTCGGGCTCTGTGCTGACAGCCTGGGGCCTGCTTGGGATTCTCTGCCTCCCCCTCTCCCTTCTCTCCCTGCCTCTCTCTCTTTCTCTCTCCCTCCCTCTCTCTGCCCCTCCCCTGCTCATGCTCTCTCTCTCTCTCTCTCTCTCAAAAATAAACATTAAAAAATATTTTTTTAATTTAAAAAGACCCAGTACTATCAGCAAGAGAGCATGCTGCACCTAGTCCAGGCTGCGCTAGAAACGGAAGCTCTGGAATGTTTACAAAGTGGAGAGAAGGGCGACCCCACAGCCTTCTGTGCTGCCTCCAGGAGGTGCAGACCAGAGCAGGTACCCTCTGCAGGGGCGGGTAGGTAAGGGGAGAGCACTCCCCCGGGAGCTCCCATAGCATCTGACTCTGGGCTGCCAGCAGGCTGGGGTCTCTGTTACCAGTAAGCCTACTGGGCCCTGAACCAATGAAAACATGCATCTCGCTGCGGAGACACCGGCAGGGGGAGGGCTTTGTGCCTGTTGCTAACGGGACATAAGAATCACCGAAACCATGAACTCAAAGAGCCAGAAGGCCCCTCTGCGCAGACAGGCCGGGCCGGGCGGGGCGGGTTCCTGGTTCCCGGTTCCCGCCCTGGCCCACGCTGGGGTAGCCGGCCTCTGACCAGGCCCGGGCACCGCGTGAGCAGCGGGGTGGCGGGGTCTCCCCTGCTCGTCACACCCCCTGCACACGCCTCGACCTGCGTGTCTGCTCTCACTGGCGTGTGTGTGCAGACGTGAGATGCAGTGACGGCCAGACGCATCCGCCCAATCTATTCCTCGGCAAACTACTTGTACAGAAAGTTCCCTCTCCATCGAAGGGGCTAAACCTATGCTGAGCCACTAAGTCGAGCGGCACCACATCCAGCGGGTCCTTCGGGCACTCGCTGGAATCGAGACAAAACAAGGAGGGCTTTCTTTAGGGATAAATCTTCAACCGCAGAGGAGGGCGGGGAGATAAGGGGAAACGCTGGGTGGAATGTCGAGCCGGCAGGTTGAGGCTCTGAAATTTCAGGAGCGGGACACAGGCCACCTGAGAGGGGGGGAGACGTGCCCGCCGCCCGAGACCTGGCGTCCAGCCCGGTGACCTGCAGCTCCGGGAGCACAGGTGTACTTGACCCGATGCTCCTCAGGACGCAGGATTTCCGGAGGGACGGAGCCTGTGCTAACCCGGGGGCCCACGGCTCTCGTCGTCCTGGAGTGCTGGGTTCCCTCCCCTCCCTCCCTCCTTCCCCCCTTCTGTCCATCCTTCCTTCCTCTCTTCCTCCCTCCCTTCCTCTCTTCCTCCCTCCCTCCTTCCCCCCTTCCTTCCTCTTTCTCTCTTTCTTCCTGTCTCTCTCTTTTTCTTTCCTTCCTTCCTTCCTTCCTTCCCTGACAGCGACAGCACGAGTGGGGAGGGGTAGAGAAAGAACCCCAAGCAGGCTCCACGCTGTCAGCACAGAGCGCTGTGTGGGGCCCGATTTCTCCAAGTGAGAGGTCATGACCAGAGTGGAAACCAAGAGCCCATCGCTCAACTGATGGAACCGCCAGGTGCCCGCGTTTCTTTCTGACCCAAGGAAGGGCCTCGGCGTGGAGGACAGTCCCTGCAGCTCACACACGGGGGCACCGGGCGGGGACGGGCCCCCCGGCGCGGT